GCTATTACTTGAAGGCATCACGGAAAAAATGATATAAGCTGCAGCCAGAGAGATGAGGATGAAAATCCTGAATCCCACTGCCGGTGACTCTCAGGGGAACGCCCTCGGATCTGAGAGTCAAACCCGCTCTTCAAAAGAGCAAGGAGCAGGGTAATGCCAGGGAGCACTCTGGATATCACATCTCAGACTCGCTGACTGGAGAGAGGGAAAAAGCCTATTAAAACGGTCCTCCAATCTGACAGACCATCTGGGGAAGCACGCTAAAAATACAGGACCCCTGAGGATAGAGAAAGCAAGACGCAGACACGAGTGACAGCTTCTGTGCCACAGCCTGGGCCTCCACATCAGGCCTATCCACGAGCCAGGCTACCCAGTGACACTCCAGTTACCCAGGGCAACAGAGTCCTTTATCATCTTTATTATTCAAGTAGGGGAGGGAGGAAGAAGAGGAGAGAAAAGAAGAGGCGGGGGTGGGGAGGACGTGAAGGTTCAGTGAGTCTGGAGCAGCCTGGGACTCAGGCCTGGGCCCTGGTGATTCTGCGCACAGCCACGGACCCGGCCTGCAGGCAAACAGGCTGTGAAAACGAGCTGTCATTAATCAGACCACAAACACGAGTCAACAGAGCTGTGGCCAAAAAGCTCAGAAACTAGTGGGGAGAGAAGACGCTGTCCCGTCACCACCCTGCATCACCAGGGACCTTTGGCCCAACCAGATGCCCTCGTGGGGTGCCTGGGACGAGGGCAAACACCAGCCCTCTTCGTCCCCAGCACTTCCAGACGTCACCAAACGAAGATTAAGATTGATCCTCCTGGGCGGCGCATGTGGCTCAAAGGAGTAGGGTGCCAGCCCCATATGCCAGAGGTGGTGGGTTCAAACCCAGCCCCAGCCAAAAACTGCAAAAAAAAAAAAAAAAAAAGATTCATCCTCCTGTACCTGAAGAATATGAGGGGAAGCTGTGTAGAAAGCGCCTCACAGAAACACCTGACCCCCACCCCAAATCCCCTGGGTTTTAAGCTCCCCTGTGGTACAGCCCTCAAGCACATGCTGCCACAGGCCTCATCTTCCCTCAAAGGGAACCCCAGGAAGAGGGGACAGAGCCCAGACTGCCACCACAGGTAGCATGGACACAATCCTGCCCAACCTGAGGACACAGAACAAAAAGAAGCTCACACCCGAGAAAAAGGTCAGCCGCTGTGACGTTCCCTGCAGGTCAGAAAAACAGCATAGCTGAGTTAAGCTAGCATTTTCCAGGGAACTAATGAGCACCGGGGAGGGATGGCCTGAGGCAAAGCCAGAGGCATCAACCCTTT